AAAGCTCAAGAGTTTCTATTTTCGAGACGGCCTCTACCTGAACTGCATCGTCCAGAACAAATGGCGTGATCGCACCACTTGATGGGTGGATAAATGTTGCATTAACCCTGTCCAAGTCCGTTGAACAATCCGGCGTTTTGGCTTTGGTCCCACACATCAATTTGATACCTTGTTAAATTCGCTTACTGCAGAGGCNCAGAGAGGCGTTTTACGTCAGCTTTGATCAAGTTGGTGTAATGCTTGACAACCGCTGAGTCTCTAGATTTGCACACTCGTTCCTTCTGTCTTCTGAATGATTTCAGCAATAGAGATGCTGTTCTGCCGTTACAAACAAATAGAGTTTCTGAAGGGCAGTATAGGGTAAACATGCGGTTAAGTATTTCAGTGAATAAGTTGACTGCATTACGTAAAGAGGAATAAGAAGAAAACCACGTAGAACCGACACTGATGGAACGCCTGAGAAGAAGGGTGCTTCTGGGAAGAGATTGCGAAGACGAATGGTGGTTTGATTGGTTCTTTGTGAGTGTAGTGTGAATGGGATGGGATGGGAGTAAATTGTGGATCTTATGAGAATCAGTGCATGATCACTAGTGGAAATGGGTGCTGTGAGTTTTAGGGAAAAATGTTCTGGGTGATTAGTGATTAACTTGTCCAAAAATGAATCACCTCTTGTGGGGGACAAGCAAATATAATTTAAGCCAAAAGAAGTTATGCGATACGTGGATGCATGATTAGTCACCAATAGTGATGTAAAGACTATCACCTACGAGGGAAACGAGAGACGGAATAATTGCATCAAAGAAATATGAAATGTGAGACTGGGGGCTATATATAATTTGGTAATGATTGTACTTCTGTATCGCAAAAATAAAAGGAAACATTGAATAGCTAAGTAGTCGATGCCATCGGCGAAATAATCAAAAAGAATTTCAGACGTGCCGCTCCTGGTTGAGTTGATGTACGTGATCACTCCACCGCCTGTTTTCTTCTTGTAGTTCTTTCTGTCCTTATGGAAGCATTTAGGACCACTGATCCCAACTAGTGAGTCCGCGATATTATGATCATGCCAGGATTCTTGAATACAAACAACACACGGTTTACTGTGATTGCGTGAATCCAGGGTGCACGTTAGATCCGTCATCTTTGCGAAGAGCGATCGGATGGTCATGCTGACCAATGAGGGCACAGTCATTTTTGATGGTGGTGTTCGACTAAGTGCTGCTTGCCAGTCACCGCGCTTGCGTTTCTTCATTTTATTAGGAATCCGAAAATGAGCCGACGGGGACATGAAAAGCACAGTATCAAGCGGATCATGTTTGAAACTCAATAACTGAGGCCGTTAATAGACTTTTCGAGTGGTCAATATGTGGTATTCACGAAAACAAAATCACTCTGAGATGGAGAAAATGAAGCGCAGCCAATCGAAGGGCACGCCCTGTAGAAAAAGATCCCCCTGATACGTCGTATATCTAGGGGGTATAAATTTAGCTGTTGTATCCCGACAGGATAAGGGACTTCTGACATGTACAAGTTTCGTTACAGAAGTTCTAGAGAGTCGCGGTCACGAAAAAGGTTAGAATGTACAATTTCGCTGCCATATTATAAGAGCGGGCATATGTGTTCCATGGAGGAAAGCGAAGTCCTCTTTGGTTATACGTGGGAAAGACAGTTTAATAACGTTTAAGACGCAAAAATGAGGATTTAATGGCTTTCTGAATATGGGAAGAAAACGAGAGATTGCTATTCAGCCAGAAACCAAGAATTTTGTGCTGATACACCTTCCAGATTCTGGGTGAATGGCTTACCCAGTAGGGTTTATCAGGAGCGTTAACAAAAGACATGCTAGCACATTTTCCATTATTGATTGGTAAGCTCCAGTCGACTGACCAGTTTTTGGCTTGGTCAGTAGCCGACTGCACTTTAGATGCATCTGTGTCTCAGACTGTGACGTCATCCGTGTACATGGCCATATCTATAGGAAAAAGCTTGGGAAGGTCATTGATATAAATCCGAAAAATAATGGGACCTAGTGCGGAGCCCTGTGGGACTCCTATTGAGGCTGGAGAGGGTAAGGAAACGGATGTGCCTATTCGAACAGTGAAGGAGCAGTTCGAAAATGATCGAAATGATCGGTTTGATCGGTGAATGATGAGAATGACTGTTGATCGCCGGACGAAAAGTGCATCCCACCACAGGTTCCACTGTAGAATCAGACAGCAAAGTATTCCTTTTGTAAGTGTTATGTGAAGTTTATCCCGAGGTGGCTAAGATCATTCCTGTCGTGGTGACGCAACCGAAATCGAGATAGATCAAGCAAACTCTGATAAGAAGCTAATCATATCGTGAAGCAAGACGATTGGAGATTTGTGTGACAACTTATTACGAACTGACAGGTGTAAGCAATTTGTTGTTCACCTTTTACAAGGAACTCCATATCGACTAATCGACTAATTCGACGCACTCAATGTGTTACTTAATTCATTTCAGTAGTATGAAAATGAATGGCCTTCTTAACTTTCGACCACATTACACCATGTGAAGCAATCAAATATCATATCTATACCATAATATATTCAAGCACGTAATACGATTTTTATTTATTGGCAAAACTTCAAGTAAACGGCCCCATTTCTGATACCCAGTAATTCCTTCAACCCTTCCTCCACCTATTCGTTTCTCTTCTTCAGCGATGGCCTGCAACTCAGGTACACGGTGTAGTTATCCTAATAGACTTGACTGGATTCTCCTGGCGTCAAGCTGTGCATATGGTACGACCCTCGTTTCTCCGACAAGCCGCCAGATTCCTCCAGGCATCAACACCGGTACGTGTGAAAGCCGTGCACATATACAATGAACCGGGCATATTCTCCACTGTCTACACCGCATTGCGACCGTTCCTAAAACAGAAAATGGTTGACAGAGTAAGTCTGTATGCCGTTTTCCTTCTCTTTGTTCGGATTTATCCATCTCACTGATTTGCAACCAAATAAAATAGACCCTGACTTGACGGACTGATTGAATGGGCACTCGGTCAATCCCATAAAGAAGCATTGAGATCTATAATGTTCACCCTTGTTAGATGGCTTCTCCGTTCGACAACCAACTCGGTTGTGCATGGGTAATATTTTGGTCAACGGGCTTGCGAATATTAGTTCACAGGGACTGATTCGTGCGCCAAATAGAGAAAAGGGGCTCCTTTTAGTGTGATGCTAGCGGATAGAAAGAGGTTGTGGATATGTTTTCCTAGTGCCATCAATCTTGTTTGCTATTAAACTCACATCAAACGGACCAATTTTAATGGACCTAATTTCAGTTGTTATTATAAGGTGACTGTCGAATTCCGATAACCATATTGATGAAATGCAAGATAAACGACAGCTAACGCTTTATGAACTACACCGTTCAATTTGTCATCACACATGAGTCACATGATTACCCTTGATCAAAAATTGGTTTCAAGAACTCCAACCAGTATTGATCAGAGTGATTCAGATAGTACAGCAGTATACCGGCTGAACAATAATGAATGTTAATTGTATTTATTAACTTGCCTTCAGCGTAGCTTTGTATTGATAAAATTGTTAGAAATAAGATCACGCAAAGTCATTGTTCCACTATGCGGTCGCTCCAACCGACCATGAGTGCACTCAGTCTAAAAGGAATTGTGTGTTGTGTGATTTCCCAAAATTTACACCATGTGCGCATTTTAGCTGTAACCCTATGCCTCAATGTATTGTTTATAAAATGATCGTTTTATTTTCAAGAATCTGTTCACTTTCATTAAAGTGGTTGTGTTTTGTGCTATTCCCAACCCTATGGCTTATAGACTATGGAGGCCAGATGTACGGTTGATGTATCTGTCTATAGTTGACATAAAAGAAAAACAGATTACGAACACCAGAGAGCGCAGAATGGCATTGCCGAGACACGTATATAATCAATTCAGAAACAGATTGCAATGACCGTTCGGTCATTTTAATGGATATCAATATTACGGCTTTTCTAGTTCTACCTGAACCCTGTTGATTTCCCTGATTGGCCATTCAAACCCCTTTTTCTCCTTGCTGTTTGTCCGTCCACCGGAAACACGAAGAGTAGAAACAGGAGCAGGTTGCAAAAAGGCCACATCCTCCACCCGAGTGTATGAATGCAAAGACTGGACACGATTGGCAACAGCATCGTGTCGTGTGTCTTACTTCACTTGACCGGATTAGTTTCTTATTCAACGGTTTTAATTTCCCGTTTGATTCAAATTTTTAGCAGCGTTTTAACATCTCCCATTTTGAGGTTATCCGACTGCGACTGCATCGTTGATCGACATCTTTGTCTCACACGTATATGTCTTCAACTTTCTGGTTGCAAAACCTCATAGGATATTCTATGGTTGCTAGATTATATGCTTTCAATTACATTTCTGTGCGCGTCAATATATAATATGATCGCATTTCAAGCTCCTGAAGCTCAGCAGATTCATCACTTATCTGCAGTAGGAAATCCTCCGAGTTCATATTAATGGCGAAGCTAAGCAAATTCAGATTCAGATTTTTATTATACGAAAAACTTACAAAGAATTCGCTTATCAAATCCCATTGGGGTGTTTACACTTTGGTTTTGGAACACGATTCACAAGATCACAGTTAGTTCATGAATGTAAAATAGTAATGTAATGTTTGTGACGAGCACAGAATGTATAATGTAGTTTTGTGTTGAAACATAATGTTTGCCAGAGCATCACCAAGTTGAAGCTTGAAAGATACTAATGTTCGCGCACAGACCACGTCTAGTGGTAGAGAGTTCCATGTGCTGCACTATCTGACTGCAAACAAATGGCGACTGCAGTCGAAATGGTTCTTTTGAAGTGCCAGCTTCCATGGATACCCTGCAAGATGAACATTGATTGACAGAACCAAAAGAGGTCTACATGGATGGCTGGTCTATTGGAAGATGCGATACAGTAATATCACCTGTGATTTGTCGATAATGAGACAAGTATCGCCCCGATAACTGTAATCTTTCCCCATAGGTCTATGAATTCAGACCTTTTAGTCATTCTCTGCGGATGTTTGAGCGCCTTGCGATCTCCCTGCAGCCCTGGGTTCCAGGCCTGAATTGAGTACTCGGTGTATGGACGGATATGATCCAATACAGAATCCGCAACAATGGATTCCATGGCTTTGGACAACACTGGAAAGAGAGTGACCGGTCGGTAGTTGGCTGGGTCACTACAACATCCCCCTTTGTAAATTGTTGAAATAACACATTTTCCCACAACTGAGGAAGTACAATTTCCTCAGCCATTTGTTTTGTATAGTCCATTTAAAGGATCGACTATTCGATTTGCCAAGATGAAAAGGGCTTTTGATGTATGGTTTTCTGACCCGTTGATGAGTTCTTATTTGAAGCCAGGAGATTCGCCTTTATCCTGTCAGAAGAAAAAATAATATTTGTCAGTAATGGATAATGAATATCTTCCAGCAAACAGGGAAGTACTAACCCAGTATTACTAGGCGCACTTGAGTGCACTATAGTCCAAATATTTCTGTAGCCTCCTTTGTTATCATTGAAACACGTCCGGCTAATTGTAGTATCGGAACACCATGTTTAACTTTCCGGGAAGCGTTTACATGCTTCTATAATAGCTTAGGGTTTGTAATAAATTACCTCGCCAGCGTGTCATGATAAATGTGCTTGTCTTCCAGCACCAAATTGGTACAATGGTTTCGAAGGAGACTGTAAGTTTCCCAAGTGCTGAGGCATGGGGCAACGTTTGAACTCCCTTCGGCAAAATTCCCTTTGCAGTATCCATTTCCCAGTTCAACTACAAATTGCTGATTTTCGAACAGTCGGCTGGCCTAGACGCTTGACTGTTTTAACAGTGGCCACCAATGTTGTGATACTGTTGGTAAATTCGGGATACGGGACAGAACAAATCTTATAGAACCATAAACTCACTTGACGGTACGGAATCACTCAGATACACATTCTTCATCAGTTTGATTTTACCATAGATCTGCGAGGCAGACTAAGCAAAATGATCCGAAGCCAGAAAACCTACTGCTATGTGGAAAGCTTCATTTTCAAGCTTAAAAGCACATTTTACCATTAAATGAGTAGATTATTCACAAAGGGCCACATAAGCGTTTTTTATGAGCCGCAAATGTGTCATTTCCTTTGCTTCCCCGTACAACTAAGCCAGCGGTCATTGAAATTTTCTTACCCGAAACTCATCCCTATTCTTTCCTCTGCTCCAGATTGTTCTTCATGGCGGTTCTCTTGAAAGTCTCTATTCCGCTATTCCGCCCACACATCTTCCATCTGGAGATCAACTGAGAGGCTCTGGACCTTCGCTTCCTAACCCGGTAATTCAATTTTTAAACTCTCGGCGGGATTTTGTTTTAATTTTTTCCCAAATTAACGACATGCAAATAATAGATGAAATCAAAAATTATTGCCAAACTTACATATGCTATGATCTCAGGAAGACCAATTTCTTTGTCTATATGTTTGCTAATGGCCAAGGATATATCAGTTGGTTTGTTCACTAAATTGTACTGTATGAAAAACTGGACTGCGTTAACAATTGTTAATTACTAAAGTGGTTATATTGATAATAATATCATATAATAATTAAAATATATATATATAAATTATTCTGGAAATTAGCTTGTCTTAGCCACGACGAATGAAAACCAAAACACAAAGGCGTTGGTGACAATAATAATAACAATAATAATAATAATAATGAGCACGACACCCAAGTTTTTCAGTGAGATCCATTCCATCCATGGATCTCGTTCTATTAAAAATTATAATACTGTGCATGTCTATCTTTTAATTATTAGACGTTACAAGTTACAATCGAAAAGCTTATGGTAGCTGCTTCTGATCACAATATCCTAATACCCCCATTTTCAATAATTAAACAAACCCGAGTTTGATTTTTATGGTCAAACCCGGCTCGGTACTTCACATTTGATCCGGTGTCGATTGACATTTCGTCTGGTTGCTGCTCGCCGGTTATCATGGTCAATGCTAGCAAGCCTGTATACTAATTCAGAGGCAACAGTTGATAAGTCACGAGAGCAGGCATGAAAACATGGCAAAAGGCAATAAGGATGCATCTACTGTCATGAGATTTCAAACCAATTTTGCAATAATATGACGAGGGAATGAATGCATAGAAGATCAACGGAATGCGGAAAACGTTCTTCCCAGATGTGATGTGATTCACACTGAGGTTTATTCAATTGATTAAAGTTTAAATGCTCTGCAAACGTACCTGAGGGTGAATGTATTTGCAACAGCTCACACTGACCGATTCCACCTGTGAAGTAACTGACAGTGTAATCAACAATGTAACATGCTCTATAGCTGGCACCATCTGTGATTCGCTTGTTCGAACTTATGCTTGTGTGCATGTTTATAGGCATTGGTTGACTGGAGCATTCGCTTTCGCTCTCTTCCGCTTTTCTAGCTCAGATTTCATCAAGATCATCCATATCCTGTTGTCGCTTCATCAGTAAGGTTTTCCAATTTTTGTTTGTGTCACATGCATCTGCCACGGAGTTGGGTCAATTCAAAAGGTGTCTGAGTTGATACTATGCAATCACTCGTTGAACTTTCTGGTTTTAGATACTCTCAAACCTAAGCAGGTTTGATATTTATTATTTTGGAAGGAACAATTTACTTTCATCTTCACTAACTGAAATTTAGTGTCCTGCCTACCGGGTGCACGAAAAACGTGGACTTTTAGCTAGGATGCATGCTTGCACAATCGGACAACCTCCATCGCTAAACACATACAACCTAATGGACCCGATAGGATAAAAGGAGCCGTGTGAAAGGTAGCTGCAAACAGAGGAGGAAATGAATGTTGTTTTTGTTGGTCGTTGTTGTTGTTGTTGTTGTCGAGGGATCAAATAGAAAATTCGTCGCATGATG